CCAAGTCTCCAAAGAAAAAGTATATTTTCCTATCATCTAGAGACTCTGAAGAAGGATCTGTGCCATTTAGAATTAACTTTGAACTTCTCATTCAGTTATAAGAGTTATTTTTCGTTTGTATATTCGTACTCAGCTACAGTGCTAACGAATGATTTGATTGACATTTTCCTTTGTGACAACAAAAACGAAGCATCAAAATTTTCAGATTATTTCTTTATATTTTTATTCATTCCACTTGTATTTATATCACAAGTAAGAAGCTTATTAGTCAGACGACTCTCAAAGTTTCAGCTAGAAATAACAATAAAAATTTAGTGAAGATACTGCAGCAGCAATGTCTCATGTACTCTGTTGTAACTATAATAAGAGTGGTCGTTTCTTTTTAACATCAACACCTTCAAAACGAATGGAATTTTATAAGTGTTTTTGTATGCTTCAGGCGCAAATAACACAAACAGAACAAAAGTATCTATAAAATCCTATTGTTCTTCTAAAAATGAATGTTAACAAACAAAGAAGAAGAACAATATATTTATATTATAGTTAGCCACAAGTATATAAAAATATAGTTACAATTTTTTTAATGACCTATTGCTGAAACTGGCAGAATATATTAATTAATAAACTTGTCACCTGTGATATAAATCAGAAAATGTTCCGTTTATTTTACAGTGGGAGACTAAGTATTCTAAAAATATGGACGTTAATTTCTTACTGATTTAATAAACGATTATCAGAAGACGAAGCAAAATTTGGTGGTCCATTATTATTTGAACGGATAGCAGTAACAATCACTGAATTTTCTCGTTCAATATCACCTTTGCCACGACGAGAAAGTGTACGATGCGACTCTGAATATTCCTAAAAAAGAAAAAGAAATAATTAGAAAAAAAATTCTAATATATAATTCAAAATGTTTCTTTTTAGGTTCGTCAATACTAGTTAGCAAAAAGAAAGAAAGAGCCAAGCAAAAGAAAGAAACAAAATAATATATATATATATACCCAATATAAAAGAAAAAAATATATATATCGTCAGTATATAGGCAGCAAAGAAACCAATGTATAAGTTTTTTTTTTCTAATAGTGGAAGCCTAAGTATATGTATATATAGATTTATAGATATGTGATGATCTACTTCACGCTTGGCAAGATCACGACGAATGCGTGTAACAACAGCTGCAGTTCGTCGCATCGATCGACGAATAGTTGCATATGAATCGACAACTAAAACAGCAGCATTTGTTTGACTAACAATCTGTGCTAATGGTCGTCGATAGCATATATCATAACCCAATGACAAATCACCAGAATAAGAAAAATAATTATGTTGTGATTGTGGTTGATGATGACAATGATCTAGATTTGTTGGTTCCTAAGAAGGTGGCAAGGCAAGGCTGATAATCGAAATAATAGAAGCAAGAGAGAAAAAAAAAGGAAGAAAAGTTTTTGGCAAGTTTGAGAAAAAAAATCAAGAAGAAGCATTCATAAAATTGATAAGATCAGTAATTGCAATAGAAAGATAATTAGTTAAATACCTCGAATACTGGCCAATTCATTTTCATTGTTGCACCATATGTATCCGACCACCATGATAAATCTTTATCTGGATCACAATTTTCAATTGTTTGAGAAAATTGTTGAACTATTGGTGCTCTAATAGAATAAAAAATTATAGAAAATTCAGTTTGAAGTTTCACATCAATCGTCATGTATAAAATAAACAATAAATATTCGAAAAATTTACTTCAACTTTAGAAAACTTATAATAATATTAAATTTTATATTGAATAAATTTATTTGATATTTTTCATTTTCTATTTATCATGATAGCACAAAAAGGATTCCTATCAACATTTATCTTATCTATAGAAAAAAAATCCAACATATTTAACCAAACTATAACAAAAAAAATATTCAATTCTCTTTTTTTGATAATGTCACTTTTGAGCTATTCTCTATAACTCTCATTTGCAATTGATCACGTTCAGACATACGGGAATAATCGATTACTTTTATCTGATATATACACGATGGGTCATAAATAATAAAACCATAAAAAAATATAAGAATATCTCCACTCCAGTTCAATATAATGGGCTCTTTAGAGGTTTTTTTCTTTCTTTCATATCGATAACATATAAATAAATAATACTTTGAAGTATCATTATCAAGTTTAGTTACATAGATTTAGATTGGTCTCATACATCGCTTGCCTTTGTTACCTAAGACAATAACATACAAAAAAAGAAACGACAAAATGAAATCTATAAATGATATAAATTTTCAAGCATGTAACCATTTTTTTGAGCTGATATTCAACAAATTCAATTATGCATACGAATTATTGGACACGAATTGATACATTGAAAGAAACTGTTGTAAAAGTTTGCTTCATATGTATCAATGTAATAATCTTAATAAAGTTCATGTTAATTTTTCTTTTGTTCTTTTATTATTGCCTTCGATAGACATCTCTAGTATACTCAATAATAATACTTCAACGAAGCATTTGTTTATGTTATCGGTATAAAAAAAAAAAAAGAAATCTTCTGAATAGCCCATTAGATTGACCTGAAGTGGAAATATTCTGATTCTTTTTCTTTAATGGTATAGTTATTTATAATCAACTGTGTATACAGTACTACATGTATAGTACCGCTTAAAATAGCATAATTCAATTTACTTACTTTAATCGATGACTAATATCAAGACATTTTTCAGTATTGGCTAAAAATTCTTGAAATTTAACAAGACGATCTCTTTCAAATGTTTGACACCGGATAAAAACCTTTCATAGAAAGAATAAATAAATAAATAAATTATTAATAATAATTGATATTTACATCGTTCATATCATCCATATATTTAGGATTAGCTCGATTAAGATCTTGAAGTGCTTCAGCATATTTAGTTTTAGCAGTTTCTTTTTCTTTACGACATCGATCAACTCTTTCAGTAATTTTAGCACGCTAAAATTAAAACAAAAAAATTACTTTTTTTTTTGTTTATCAAATTATACTAATGATATTTATATACTTGATCTTGTGGAACTGAAGAATCAAGTTTAGAATTATTTTCTTGTGTTTCAGCCGTTTTCAGACTTTTTGTGGCAACATGATATTCACGCTTATATTTATCAACTTTACCATATAATTTAGCCCATGGTTTTTGAGCCTATTGGAAAAAAATCCAAAGATCAAATAATAAGATTAATCGAAAAAAAAAAGTAAATACACAAAATACGAACTCGTTTAAACTCTTCATCGAATTCTTTTGTTGATTTGACATGCATCATTGATTTAACATATTTTCCTTTTTGCCATGATTTTACTGATGGTATAACATCATTTTGTAAATCATCATGAACATTTTGATGAACTTCAGCTGTTGCATCAGCTTCAGCCATGATTGCTTTCCAAGCTGATGTCATTGAACCAAATTCAGATGCTTAAAAGTAACAAAAAAAAGAATGTATTCAATAGGACTATTATTTTGAAAAAAATAAAAACCATTATTCATTTACATTTTGCTACATATTCAGACCATTTTTTGGACCAACTTTTAAGCATTTTTGAAAATGATTTTTCAAGTTCAGCACGTTCACCAATCATACTAATAAGATCAGTTGTTAATTTATTTCCATCGTCACATCGTTTTACAACTCGACTATACTTCCCAATCTATAAAAAATTGAATTATATAGAAAGTAATAAAAAAACTAATTGTTTGTTTTTTTTTTTCTAGCGCTTAATACATACTTCCCAAAATGAATCAGTTGGTGGTATATAAAGATCACTGTCTACATTGGATTTATCACTAATTATTGAATCCATGACAGAATAACAAATTGATTAAAGACGAAATAAAAAATGCAACAATCTAAAAGCAAAGCAAAAAAACAAAAAATTACCTTTTTTTTGCAAAGTAGATTATTTTTACTATTATCATTGATATATCAAAAAATTTAAAAACAAAAAACTTGTCATTTAATCCGTAGATAAATGTCATCTCATGGTACGTTTCTATCATGCACACAAAAATAAAAAACACATTTTTATCATGTGATATATAAATGGAAAGAGAAAGTACAAGGTAAAGAATAATTATAAGACATGAAATCAACAGTATCACGATCATTATTGAAAAAAACATATGCCTTTCATTCAATAATGACGAACAAGCAGATGTTATCACTTATTCTTCATACTGATTTTGATGAAGAAGCATAAAAAGAAAATAATAATTTATGAACATCTTCATTATCATACTCAAAAAGGTATATAACACAGGAAAAGAAAAAAAGCATTGGGATCTCTTAAGTCACATTACTCTATCACTACAACATTCTCTCGTCCAACAGATTCAGGTCAAATGAACCATGTTAGTTGTTTGTGTATGTGTGTGTGTCGGTCTTTTTCTTTTTCTTTCTCCTCATATTTTCGATCAAGTTTCTCTTTTTTCACAAATTCTCTCATTTTCTTCTTCCTCTTCTCTCGATGCTTTTCCAGTGTTCTAAATTTTCGCAAAAAAAGGCAAAAAAAAAAGAAAGAAGAAGAATATCGAACTATACGACCGATTTAACTTTATTACCTATCGATTGTTTCTATAAACCATGGTATGAAGAAAAAAAATAAAATGATAACAACAATAATGACTTTGCTTAGTAAATCCTTGATGATTGCAATAGAAATGAATGAGATAGAAAAAGAAAGATAAGGATGAATGAATATTATACGGTCTATCGGTAATAGACAATGATCATATCGTGTATACTTGTTAACTGAACTAACGTTTAAAACATTGTATTCGAGACAGGCGATTATGATCTTTGTATTTGTATATATATTTTTTTCTCGACTCCCTTGAGCAGTAAAATATATTATTTTTATTTTCCCAAATGAGAAATCAGCCAAACTATTCATGTTCTATTTCCGTATAGAAATGTGAACATATAGAAATAGAAATAAATTGATAATTGATCAGTAAAGAAAGAAAATAATGTCGACGGATAAATTGAAAGAAGCAGTACCTGTACATTATGAATATTGTTATTGTTGTTTTTATTCTGCTTCTTCTGTTCATTCACAGTTCAGGTCAATCGATGCCTTATCGACAACATCAACACTACCGACGCCTCGACAACAACGTAATGTCAGAGAGCATATACATATATACATACGAAAAGAGAGAATGAATTGAAGTATGTGAACGAATAATTGTTCGGAGTTCATCTCCGTTGTTATGGTAGGAGAAAAAGAAGGAAGATGAGAATGAATGATTTCTTGTGGTTGGTATGTGATGTTCGATGTATAACTATGTACATATATTATTGAACATTCACGAAAATGTAAATGATCTTGAACTCATACGATCATCGAATCACTGGATGTTGACGTTCATTCTTTTTTATGTTAATGAGAAAATTTAGATTCAATGTTATCCAACTGAAAAATTTCTATGTTAATTGTACAAAGAATTTCGCAAGCAAAATCTATTGTGTTATTGGTTCTCATATAGTTTTTTAGGAATTATTTGAAAGAAAAAGATAAGTTAATCTTACCAGGAAATAATACTTACTTAAGTTCTTCTTTATGTAATAGAGGTAATCAAAACCTGAATATCACTTGTTTGAAAAGTAAAATAGCCCGAACTCGGATATGCTTAGAAAGGCGAAAGTGGATGAATAAGTACGAAAATTTTCATGACTAAGCAAACAATAATAAACAGAAGGAAGAAAAAATATGAAAGGAAAAGAAAAACATGTTCTTATTGCTTCATTGGTGATTTAAAAAGATTAAAATATAATTAATTATATTATTATTTATTTTATTTGAACAATTTATTTTAAAAAGCAATTTTTTCTATAATTTTCATATTTTTCATGAATAAACAGATGTCACTAAATAAGCATCCAATTACTAATCGGTTTTTCTGTTTAACAAATCACGATTTAAACAAAAGAATTTGTTGATATTATTTTTTTTATCGATAATAGTTGCTATTTCATCAGTAAAAACAATGGCATCGTTAGTAAGTCGTGGTTTAGCACAGCTCAAGAGCAAAGAAATGCGTGATTATTTAATGAGGTAAAATATAACAAATTGTAAAATTAGTATTTTAATCTTTTTAATAAATTTTAGCACGGTAAGACATTATATAAATGATTTATTTGATCATCTTATTTATTTTAATTTTATTTATATGAATAGCATTTTTGGGGACCAGGTAAATATTCTTATTGATTAATAATAAATACATGAAAAAATTTTTTTTTTTTATAAATTTTTATTTATTTTCAGTTGCTAATTGGGGTTTACCATTAGCTGCTCTAGCAGATTTAAAAAAAGATCCTGAAATTATTAGTCCAAAAATGACTGTTGGTAAGACTTAAACAAATAATTATCTTTAATATTGAAATTCATTTTTATCTGTATTTTTACATAGCATTATGTTTCTATTCAATGTTATTCATGCGCTTTGCTCTTCAAGTGAAACCCAAAAATCGACTTTTATTTGCCTGTCATTTTGCTAATGAATGTGCACAATTAATACAATTGGCAAGATTTCTTAATTACAAGTACAAGCTTCTTCTTGTTTGTTTGTTTTCCCTAGTAATTATTTTGTTTTTCTTTAAGATACGGTACACAACAACCGATGAAACAATATAAAGTTCCATCAACTGTTGTTGAATCACAATGAAATATACCATCATCCGTTCAACCTGCACGTTCCACATAAAAAAATAAAGATTAGATTTAAAAAAAAAGAATTGCAGTAGTTTTCACTTTTTTTTTCTACTTTAGCATTTATTGTTCTCGAAAAGTTTTTTCTTCTGTCTACTATAGATTAGGTTATCAAACAGTCAGTTTTTTAGTCAACTATATCAGTATTAAGTCTTTATTAAACATGATGTGCTGATAAGTAAAAACTAAAATTGATAAACAAATGTATGTTATAGACTATCAAGGAACCGCAATAAATGTAAATTCATCTTTTTCTTCTAATTCGATGGTTGTAAACTGTGATTTCAACTTTAACAAAAAGAAAACTTTGGGGAAATATTATTTTAATGTGAATTCGTAATTGTATTCCGAAGTACTGGCAAGTCAACATGCTTGAAATTTCCATATTTTATATTCACAATAGTTCATAAGATTATAATGAACCTTTGTTTTTTCGAAAATCATTATGAAAAATAATTAAATTCAATCTTTTCATATAATTAGATACTTTCAATGAAGATTATAGAGAGAATATTCTAGCCTATTGATGTTTGCTCTATTCTACTCAGAAAGAAAAATAAAATCGCACTAATTTACAAAACTAACTCTTTAGTCATTTCTCAATATAAATCACAAAATGAATGTCACGCATTAGGACTTTCGATGTTCATTTTAATATAACAGGTAAGCCATAATAAATTTGACTAATTACAACTGCAATTTTTCAATCATTTGTTTATTAAAAGATAAATAATTTCAAGCTCTACAAAACAGTGTACTTCACTTTTTCAGATACACTATAAAGTAGAGAAAACTTATTTTTTAAATTCTTCTTTAGAAAGAACTTATTGAAGAGATTTTAACAGTGATTTCGATAGTCCTCAGAGTAGCCTACAAAAATGAGATGCGAACAATTTTTTAAAGGATAGCTATTTTAGTTTTTATGCCAAAAACATATTTTCTTCAGAGCAAAAAAAGGAAAGCACATTTTTAGTGTTTAGTCAATAATTTTGTTATTCAATGATAACTGAAAGCTGTTTTATACATCTGTGCAATGCATAATGCTACGAGCTACATTTTGATATCAAGCACTCATTCTCATATTAAAATATCAATTAATACCAGTAACTGATTGATTAGAAATAGTGAGTGATTAATGAATAAAATTTCGCTTTGTTGTCAACTATGAGATATATTATGAAAAAGAGTATTAAAAATTGAACAAAATGAAGTAGTTATTATCAAATTATTCCGAGAGTCCGTGCAACTCATATTCTAGGAAACCATACTATAAGAAGTGCTGCATTTAATGGATCACGAACACAGTTTAGATGAAGTTGTACGGGCAATCGGATAAGAACTACTTCATTTTGTTCAATCTTTAATGCTCTTTCTCATAGAATATATGGTACTTGAAGGCAAAGCAAAATCTCCTTAGTTGGTATTGTAATACTAAATAAATCAGAAAAACATGATACTGGTCTAACTGGACTTAAATTAAGAACGAGTGACAAATAAACTTTATAGAGTGAAAGTAGAAATTTTGTCAGACAGGAAAGGGTGAGAATTAAAAAGTTTACTTTGCACATTTCTAATAAATACATAAAAGATACAATGGTATTCTTATATATTTTAGTAATTTTCTGATGTTATGACAATAGATAGATGCATGTATGAGTGCAATTTATACTGTTCTCTAATCATATATTCTAAAATAAAAATAATCCAGGAATTCAATATGCACTTAGTTCGAAGAAGATATTTATTTCTTATTCTTGTAGACATGATAATGAAAATCAAATCAGTCGAATAATCGGAATGAATCTATGAATAATTCGATAGTAGATGACTTTTATTAACTCAATATGGTAGGTATATTGATTATGTACGCAGAAATTTGTTATAACAAATATACAATTACAATGGTTCACTCGGCTTGTTTTAGAATTGGAGAACTTTACATTTTGTTTTATACGTTCAGTTCTCGGAGCACGGGCAACGCATATTTGTGTTCTGCGATTTTATGCTCGGAATAGTTTTTATAAATATTATGTCTTGATTACCCATGTGATTCGAATCAAACAAACGTGTGACATTAGTATTCAATTAAATGAAACTCATATGTGCCTACGTTTATAATATTTTTTCGGGTCAAGATCAATTATACTCGTATACTAGAATCACTTGTGAGTATAGGTTTTTCGTTAAAGTTTAAATATTTGTGAGCAGTTATTATTTCTTTTAAAAGTCACTGTCTTTCATGTTTCTCGAAATATTGATATTCTTCGTGTTAAAACATTCCTTGTTGGACAAGTTCCGTTTTCTCTCTTTGGAGGTATGCGACACATGTTTCGATTTAGATTATGCTAAACACAAGCGACAGTTATTTTTGAAAGTAACGATAGCTGCTCATCACTAATTCGAACCATTTCGAATACGATTTCATAATTCTTCATATAGATCAGTTTAAAACAACATTCGAGAGTAGTTAAGATCTTACTTATCAATTGTGAAGTCTTATTTTGAATAATAATGCACTTTATGACATAATAAAAACAATAATTTTGTTTTTCGAAAATTTTCATTTATTATTTCAGAAAAATGAATTCCATACTCAAAGAGTTAAAAGAAGCGTATGCGACATGGAATCTATGAAACATTTGATTGATGAATAATTATATACAAAAAAAATCTGACAGCTATATACCATTTGATGATTATGGATAGTTCTGTAGAATCTGTGTTTGACAAGTAAACAGATCTTATTGATCAAATCAACTTTATTATTTAAATCATTAGAGAATCATGTATCATTATTCTTTCAACCTTTCATTATTTACAGATAGCTTATAATGAATTATGCTATTTGACTAATATTCCTTAGTTAGGAACATCTAATCAATTCGTTCATAATATCATCCTCACTAATTCTATACAAATTTTTCAATTAAATCTTCTAGGTCGAATTATTTGAAAAAAAAGCATTATCATATGTGACTATTGATCCAATTACAATACAAGTTTTATCTTTATGTATAATTTACCTAACAAGCGTAGAAAGTAGAAACAAACATTTGTTTAAAAAAAGTGAACAAAGATACACGTGTCGTATAGATAAGTTTATAAGAATATACAGTAGTTACATTTTGATAAATATATTTGATGGCGTGTATGTATATGTCTTCTGTCCCCTCACCTACATTTACATCCACACTCCTATCATCAACTGAATAATAATTTGTATTATTTTAAAGTTCGCATAAGTTGGCATATCTTTCGAGCCCGTTAAATATTAGAATGTGTATTCAACAGATTTATGTGTTCCATGCATCTACATGATTGTCTTGCTTTGATGCTTCAATGGTTAACTTAGTAAATCGAATTGGAAAGTCTTTTTCAAACGTCTAGTTTGTATTATTCCTATCATAAATATGAAAAGATAATCATATGTAATATAAATATTTTGATGGTATTTTTACCAATATGTGAATATTGTTTTTGTCTCTAAAACTAATAAGCTGAGCAATTATGAAGAATCGTTAGAGCTTTGCATAAGTGTTTAAAATAGATCGATAAGAGATGTTTTCTCTTCAATTTATTGTTAAAATTGCCACAAAAAGATCGAAGTGGAAAATATATAGAATTCTCGTAGCTAATATCTAATATTTAATAAAAAATATTACCAAAATATGAGAAGACGCTGTTGTAAAAATAACGATTGAGTTTTCATGCAGATTAAAACGATTTTTATCACTTATCTGAATCCAATTCATTACAACAGAGTGTATAGATATGAACAAATTGGTCTCAGTCTTGAAGTCATAAGCAACTAGTTTTACCGATGTCTACTAATGAGACTAGGCAAAATCTATACTGATAAGTACAACTAATACATTCTTTTCGAGTAATGACATTTTACTGAGCTCCTGACTTACAATGGAAAATTCCCAAGTGTGACTCGTCAATCAAACTGATGTTTTGCTCATAAGAGTATCTCAATGAAACTATTCGAAACCTTTAGCAATTCGTCCACATCTGCTGTCATTTCGAAATTAGTGCAGTTTATCGAGTTTTTTTTTCTTGGCACAGTGTTTGTGAAAAAATCAAAGTGTGGAATTTTAACGTGAAACTATGGCCCATAGAAAATCTCGTGGTACTTAGAATGTCCTAATAATATCAGCTTAAACGTGTGGTGTTCTACTTGCTATATTGAATAATCAAAAAAAAAAAGAAATTATGAATCATAAGCAAAGATAAGCAAGGCCAGTATTTTCAAGATTCAATATTTCAAGAACAGCACACTGTTTTGGACTATAATTGTCAAAACACTCAGAGGTTGACGAAACCTACCCATTGGCAGAATTTACAGGTTGAAATTCTTAATTGATTTTTCACACATAACTACCCGAAAATAAAAGCAATTAAGTAAAATTGTAATAAGTTGAGAAGAGTAGCCTATGGGGATAAATTCTTATAGGTTTCTACTAGGTCTTATTGGAACCTACATATTGGCAAAATATTAGTTCGATTGGAGAATTACACTTGAAGATGTTTCCTCATTAGTGTAATTCAATATGATCACTTCGATCTGTTTAAATTTATGCCTAAACTGAATAAACTTGTTTCTTTCGATTTCTATGCTGAAGTTTTAAGTCATGTTCATGATTAAAATAAAAATTTGTATCGAATGTAATATAAATTTTATCTTTGATTGATGTTCAAGACAACCGAATCAACTGAAAAATAATATAATATCACAATAATTCGAAACAAAAAAAAAATATCATTGAATTATTTTTCGTCATAATAATTTGTTTATTTAATATATGTATATTCTCCTGTTAATTTACCGCTCATTAGAATTTTATTAAGAAAAACATGATTTTTTTTTTGTTAACTTAATGTAAAGAAAAGACAGTATATAAATATAATTTGATGTTTCATCTTATGTAAAAACGAAAAAAAAAAGAAACAAAA